CAATCCAAACCATTCAATGATTCTATGATTTACAGAACTGAAGCTGTTAGTTCAGCCAAAATGAAATTGGATTTCTGGGGGGTACATCAGTCCAGCTGCCGGCACACAGAGTGTTAACGAGCTCTGCTGCTGCTGAGCGTGTGGGAACAGTCTGATCCGCGTGCCATCGAGCACAACAGCCTGAAAGGAGAAATGTGGTATCTGAGGTACAAATCTAACACCTAAAAATCAACACAACAGAAGCCAAGCCTGCAGAGAGCCAGGCTGTAATGCCAATGTCTGACCAAAGCGGGTGTGAACCTAAGAAGAGCTGTAGAGGGTCAGAGGAGCAACCCTTCTAGCCCAGGATTTGGTGTGACAGCCATCAGGAACAATTCCTGCTCCTCAAGAGGGAACACAGGAACAGGGCAGGCACAAATCCAACACTGCTGTCCAGGCTTCCCCAGTCTGACAGGTTTCCAGTGAGGAATTGTTCAAACAGGTTTTTGAACTGGTCTGACTTTTGGCACCCAAACCTGGTGGGAGGAAGGTTGCCAGTTTCATTAGCAGCTGTGTGGCAGAACTGCTGCTTTTGGTTCATTTTGAACCTGGTACCTGGGAAATTAGCTTGGCCCTCTGAGTGCTGGTATGATCATAGAATCCCAGACTGGTTGGGGTGGGAAGGGACCTTAAAGCTCATCCAGTTCCACCCCCCCTGCCATCAGCAGGGACACCTTCCACTAGACCAGGTTGCTCAAAGCCCCTCAAAGCTCAAATGATGAGAAATAGAAAATCAAGTCTCTTTGCTCCCTTTCTTGGAACAACTCAACATTTGTCCTCTCCCCTATTTCTCCTCACTTCTCCTTTTCCTGGGTTGAAGATTTCTCTGTATCCTTTCCAACCAGACCAGACTGCTGCATTCACATTCAGCAAGTCTTGGTGAGACCCGACTTAAACGAAGGTGAGGGAAGAGAAGCACCTTCCCCTCTGCATCCCTGCGATCTCATCGCTTTAAGAAGGTTTAGATTAGATATTAGGAAGAAGTTCTTCACTGTGAGGGTGGTCAGACACTGGAACAGGTTGCCCAAGGAAGTTGTAGATGCCCCCTCCCTGGAAGTGTTGAAGGCCAGGCTGGATGAGGCTTTGAGCAACCTGATCTAGTGGAAGGTGTCCCTGCTGCTGGCAGGGGGGGTTGGAACTGGATGAGCTTTAAGGTCCCTTCCAATCCAAACCATTCTATGATTCTATGATTAAGAACTCACTCATGAGTTGCTGTCTACTGAGATCTTGCTTAGGGCAGATGTCAAATTCTTCTGTGTATCTTGTGGTTGTGCAGCCTCCTATTCGCAGCGCTGCCTCGTGCCAGGCACATCATGGATGGGTGCAAGTCATTCCTCAGGATAGACTCACCTCTTTTTCCAAGCCTAAGGCTGTTACTGAGGCTGCATCCTGAATCCAGCCTTTTCTACCACACTCTTAATAAAATCTGTGGCAATTAGCTCTGGTTAATTACAAACTATTTATTCTCTTGCTAAATTTCCTGCCTTTCAACCTGGCTGCCCCTTGTCCTGCAGCGTGAGGAGCTGTGTACGTACATACAGCTGTATTTGATGGGATTCTCTCCTACCTCTTAGCAACCCTGACAGACTTAAACATCTCAGACTAATTTTTGAACATTTCAGCAAGAAAATGTATTATTCTGCATGTCCACGTCACTGCTCTCCCTTCTACACTCCAGCTTCACAGCAGAAGCTGGTCACTGAGTTGCTTTAAGACACAACTGTGGTTATTTTTTTTACTCTTCCCATGAAAACACGACTCAGAAGATAGACAGCAGGGATGAAGGGACAGATTAAATGGAGTGAGACTAGGACTGAGCTTCTGTGGAAAGAAGGGAAGTGAGAACAGGCTGGACACACTGTGACAGGAAGGTAAAAGGGGTTGGTTGAGGCCAGAGAAGCAGGCTGGGAACAGGAATTGGTAGAGACAGGCAAAAGCAGGTGAGGGGAACAGATCAGAGGAGCAGCCAGGACCAGATGGGGACAGCGAGCCCGGGATCTCTCTGGCAAAGAGCCTGGGCTGAAGCAGGAGCTGGGGGAACACAGACTTTTAAAAGCTCTGGAAAAAGAACAGGATGAGGCAGTGGATGTGGCTGCCATTACACCCCAAACTTGTGTGGAGATCTCCTGTGCTAGTGACAACCCAGGTGGTTGTGGCACGGAGGTTCTGAATCGATGAACCCTTTACAAACACAACACCCAGAAAAGTGAGTTACTAAAATCATCACTTGGCAAACCAAACCACTCAAAGGTCAGGAAGGACTCAACCACTCCAAAGTGCCATCAAGATGTCACACAAAGGTCCATCTCTGTTGGGTGCATGGTTTCCCTAAGGTGAACAAAGATCTTGTGATTGAGGAGGTGAAACATGGACCTGCAGGACTGCACTCTGTCCTTTCCAACGCCAACAAGATCCTCTCTGGTCTTGGGCAAGTGATTTAAAACCAGGTTTTATGGAGCTAGTCACTAAGTCCCTTCCTGGTGTCCTCCATACAACTAGGGAGCTGCTGCAGCAAGGAACATGCACAGTGGGCATTGAACTAAGGTGTTCCACAACGCTGTTTTGAGGGAGAAGAACAAAAATATCCCAGACATTTCAAACCAGGCAGCCTAGATGAGTTAATATCCAAGATCTGTCTTGGGGCAGCAACCTGCTTACTGCCACCTCTCTTCCCCATCCGTATCTCAAAGATCTTTTCCAACCAAATGGTGATATGATTCTAAGATCTTTCATCTCAGTACGTCTAGAAATGTTGTACTGTGTCCAGAGCAGCTCGGCTGCCTTTGCAGTAGGAATGGGAGTTTCACCTGCTGCTCCATGTGAAATGATCCCTGCAGCTCTGGTTAGATGCAGAACCTTGTCCTGTGCACCTCAGGAAACATCCCTCCCCTTGGAGAGAAAAAACACCTGAAAGCTCAGGAAGAAGCCAGTAACTCTGTTCTCAGCATGGCCTGCAGAAATCAGACACTGGGTCACACCCTCAGCAAGAAAATAACACAACGAGCCACGTGACAGAGGGTGAAACCAGCAGCCTCCAGAGCAGATGCTCCACAGACCATCATGGAGTTTGCAGTCTAACCTGCACAGCAATCACTGTCACCCAGGCAGGGGAATTGTCTCCAGGTGGATTTGTTGACCCCATTCAGCAGCAGACATTATCAACAGGATGCAAATCCTCTCTGCCAGGCACTGCTGAGAGCTGAGCATGAAATTCATATCTCAGGGTCAGAGCACCCCAATTCTCAGCTCCGGTTTCCATCTCACCACTCAGCTTCCACTCTCTATCCTGCTCATCCACAGCTCCTAAAGGAGAAACTCGGACTGTGGTCCCACCAGCCCCAGCTCAATGGTGATGGAGACAGCAAAGAAACACGTTATGTGTGTTCCTGGCACCCAGGTCAGCTTCATGACTAAAAAAAATCATGTCAATCCTCTCCCAAAGATCACTGTTCTGCTCTCACAGAGTCACCAAATCCATCCACTTTCATTTAGGGCGGAGGAAAACAAAAGTAATCACAGAGAAAAATGAACAGGAGAGTAGTTTTTATTTGTCATGGAAGCATTGGGGGGATCTCTGTACAAAAGGAGAGCGCAGGACACGTCAGCAAAGCAGAACTGGGTCACGGAGCACACAGATCACCTGCCAAAAAAACTTAAACCAACGCTCAGAAACCATTTTAATCAGTAACCAGAAAGAGAGAAGCACCTGGAGAGGCTGTGCCAGGCTCTGAGCAAGCAGCACAGCAGATTAACTGGCCCTGCTGAGCAGTGCTGGGTCAAACACCTTGTAATGGAGGTAGCTGAGCTTCTCCAAACGCGTGCGCTTGAGCAGAGGGAACCAGTCCCAGAAGGGCAGCTCCACCACCACGTAGCCCAGGAGCTGAAGCTGTCGCCGTTTCAGGCGGTGCAGCCCCAGCAGTCGCTTGGAGCAGAAGCAGTAGTGGTTTCGGTTGGACACCTGAATAGCAAGTTTCACCCCAGGAAGGTGCTGATTCAGTGTCAGGGATGGGGGGGCTTCAAGAATGCGCCCCAATTTAGGCTCAAGTTGCAATCTGGCATCTGCAGTAAGAGCTGCACCTGAAAGGGCAGCACGATCCACCACACAGGGTGTTTGTGTTTCTTCCCCTCTCTCCTGATCCGGAATCCTGGCTTCATTTTCCACTTTCATAGGAGACTGGCTATTAGATCTCCCTTTGATAAGCTGAGTCATTAACTCATCTGTTAAACTAACACCCAGGTCTTTTAGTTTCTTATCTGCAATAGATTCTTTGAAGTTGAAAGGGATGGGACGTCCATCCATGGTCAAGTGAACCTCCAGATCACTCGATCTGGTGTGAGGCAGGATCATGTGGTTTTTCACATACTCGGGCCCACCTAACATGTTCTCAAGAAGAGAGGAAGCTTCCACAATTTCAGGCCTGACATAAATTTCTTGCTCTGCAAAATTTAAAACCATTTCAGTCATCTCTTGATAAAGCTGAGGTGGAAGGTGGCTGCCTTGGTAGCTTGGGCATTCAATTTCAACACTCTTACTAAGGGTGAACAGATCCTTTCTGAGCTCGTATTTACTACCTCTTGTTTTCCGGACAAACTCATCCCTCAAAGCATAATCTATCAGCTCCTCTGGGAAGCGTTTGACAAATGCCAGCCCAAGTAAACCAGTAAGGAGATGTTCTGGAAACTTCTTAAATTCATGTAGTTTCCTATGCATCTGCTCTATCAAGCTGGAATAAAACTCTTCCTCGTTGGGAGGTTCATAATCCAGGCATCCAAACGACCACAAGAACTTGGCAGCATCTTTACTTCGGCAGTAAATCACTTTAGAAGGCAAAGACAAGGCTACAGCAGCCATCACACCTTCGTCAAAGTAGTGTAGGGATGAACAGGTAAGAGTGATGTGCATGATACCCTGGATGTTTATTTCAGGAATCCGAGAGGGAACAACCTTCCCAAGTTCCTTCAAGAGGGGTAAGTGATCCATGCGAGCGTAGCGGAGCATTTTAAGCACGTTCACCAAAGCGTAAGTGCTCATCTCTTCCATCTGCAAGGAGACTCTGTCTGCAATTCTTCTCATGACGTTGTCTGAGATACCACTGAGGGATTTGAAGAGCCCTAAACAGATAGCACCCACCTCCTCCAAGGTGAAGGAGTCCAAGTACTTCAAAATCATGCTCTCTACCTTCTGCATCAAGTCCACAGGTGACCTCCGGCCTTCACCTATGATATAAACAAGCTGAACAAACTGTGGCAAGGTGAGATCTCTCCAGTGCATGTTGGCATAGCTGAATAAAATGCTGAGGAAGGAAGGGACGTTGCGCTCCAGGCAGCGCCAGCAATCAGCCACCAGCAGTGGCCCATGCCCCCCCCCCGCCGGCAGAATTCCTTCTCGCAGGCGTTCAGCAGAGGGTGGGTGGGTGGAAGGACCAAACGAACACAAGCTTTTAAAATATCAATGAGTTCTGAAGAGCTGAACAACCCGATGTTTCTGACAGCAGAACGACACAGGGTGTTGAACCTGGGTTCGGCCAACAAGGCTGGGTGTTGTTCCGCTGGCAAACGGCTCAGCTGGCTGAAATAATCTCTGAGAGTTCCTGGGCTCTGGCTGCCCTTGCATACGGCCACGCTGCGTAAAATGGAGTCACCTTCTTCTAAAGGAAGAGCCTCCATGGGCTCAGAGCTGTCATAGCTGACAGATCTGTATTCAGGCCTCCCCTTCTGAAACACCCGAGGGTCCTCCTTGGAGTCATGCATCTCTTTTTTTCCCTTTCCTATCTCCTCCTGGGTTTGTGCTGCAGAGGAAGGTGTTGAGATGCTCCGCTCGAGGAGGAGCGGGTTGGGCTTCTTGGGCTTGGGTTGGACATTTCTAACGGGTGGCAAAGCTTGAGAAGAGGCTGAACCGAATGGATGCTGAACCTCTGCGGTGCCAGGGCTGGTGAAAGCGTCACCGAGAGCCTGGGCACTGCTCCTGGCAGCCTGCTGCTGGGAGGCAGCTCTGCTTTTGGTGTAGGCAGATGGGTTATACAATACTCGATAGTCCAGTGGATCCAGCAGCTGGATTGTAGCCGCAGATTCGGTTCCAGTGTTGGTTGTTTCTGGGTTCTTTGCCTTTTTTTGGTTATTTTCGTTGCTTCCGCTCTCGGCCTGGCGCTTGGCTGTAGTCGAAAAGGCAATCACCCTGCTCAGCCTTGGAAATCTTCGGTATATGAGCACTGTAGCCATGGATGACAATTTACTGGGGTCAGAATTGCTTCCAGGTACTGAAAAAAGGGCAGATGAAGAATGAGTGGCTTCCACCTAACACGGAGAACTTTTTAATTTAGCCTTTACGCTACCGAAATGGAGGCCAGGCTGGTGTTTCCCCAAAGCAGGGCAGATGTTTCCCTGAGGGAAGCTGCTATCAAACATCACCTCATGCAAAGGCAGCTCAAGACAAAACACCCAGGTGACCCTGAAGTTGGGGTACACGGTGGTTGGGTATTACCTGCTACAAATAATCTGGCAGAGACTGTGTGAGTTAAGAAGAAATTAATCTCTTTTGCATTTTTAAGAAGAACCAAACTGCTTTTCTGTCATTCTAAATAATGAAAACATATTTTGGTGGTAGAGCTGCAGCTTCAAGAGATTTTATGTTTTCAAACAGAGCATTCAGCTCCTTTGGTCACCACAGGCTGAAACATCAACCACCACCCAAGAAGCTGTTGAAATATCCAGGGTGCCACAGGGCTCTCTGAGCCTGGTAATGGTATGAGGAGGCTGTGAGCAAAATCTCCACAAAACTAATTCAGAGAGTAAAAACCAGCCTGAAACCTGCAGATGAAGATTAGCTCAAAGGAGAAACGTGGCCCCAGAAGAAAAGTCAGGGAAGAGCACGGGAGAAATAACACAAATCACTACGAGACGCCGCGTCCTGAGTTGAGAACCGGAGGGAACAGAGTTTTATGTCTCAGATTTGGGAGCGTTTCCCGTAGTTTTAGGGTACAGAAGGCTTAAAAATGCCAAGTCCCTTCCTAACTCCTGCCTAAAGCAGCTACAGCACAGAGGGTGAGGATGATGAGACACTTGTCAGGAGCTGAGCTGCGTGCTTCCAGCCAGCACAAGCTGCCAAACCAGCCTCTTTCTGATGATTCAGATGTTGATTGAAAAAAAAACCATCAACCCAAACCCACCAGGTCAGCGCTGTGTGTAACACACCCTTATCCCACCACGTGTGGCTGACCCCAAGGATGCATCAGACCAGGAGTTTTCAACTTCTTTACAACCCCTTGTGCTCTCAACACCACAGTGAGGAGCAATCAGGAAAGGTGAAGCCTGGCAGAGATGCTGCAGCAGTGATACAGATCAGCTTCTGTGCTCCTCACACCGGGGAAATCAATCCTTGATGGGCTTTTCTCTGAGCTCTGATTGTACATGTGGCTTCTTGATGAGGGACAGATCAGGATGTCCAATCAGTGCAGGAAAACTCAGCTTTGCAGCAGGAAAATGGAAACCTTGGGGGGAAAAAAGGAAGGGAGAATGCTCTGGGCTTGGGCTGTCTGAGATGGAGAGGGCAGCAGTGGGAGGGGAGATCACAGGCAGCTCTGGTTGAACATCAGCTGGTTTTTGTCTCAGGTACAAGATTCCTATTGTCTTCCATGATCCACTGGATCACAGAATCCCAGATGGGTTTGGGTTGGAAGGGACCTTAAAGCTCATCCAGTTCCAACCCCCCTGCCAGCAGCAGGGACACCTTCTGCTAGACCAGGTTGCTCAAAGCCTCATCCAACCTGGCCGAGAACACTTCCAGGGAGGAGCAGCCACAGCTTCTCTGGACAACCTGGGACACTGTCTCACCACCCCCACACCAAACAATTCCTTTCTCACATCTCAGCTCCATCTCCCCTCTGACACTTTCAAGCCATCACCCCTTGTTCTCTCACTCCCTGCCCTTGGCCAAAGTCCCTCCCCACCCTTCCTGGAGCCCCTTCAGGTACTGGAAGGCCACTAGAAGGTCTCCCCGGAGCCTTCTCTTCTCCAGGCTGAACAGCCCCAACTCTCTCAGCCTGTCCTCACAGCAGAGCTGCTCCAGCCCTCGCATCATCCTCGTGGCCTCCTCTGCACTGGCTCCAGTAGCTCCATGTCCTTGTGCTGTTGGTGGTCCCAGAACTGGAGATGATCTGTTCCTGCATTGCAATGGCAAAGCATCAGCTCCTCTCAAGGAAAGGTGAGATGGGAAGGGAGGGAGGACGAGGAGAATTGTGTGATGGTCTTTGCTCCTCTCAGTACCAGATGTGGGTGCTGCCTCACGGGGATGGTTCCCTGCAGCAGCCTCAACTGTCTCTCTGCACCCTGAACTTTGCCACGGGGCAGCCCCTCTGCTCCCCAGACCCCACTTAGAGCTGCGCTGCTCCCTGCCAGCCAGGCAGCTGCAAGGCTGTGACTGTCCCCTCCCCACAGGAGCAGTGACATGGTGACAGGCAGGAGGGACTCTGCCCCTTCCCTTCCGCTGAGCAGGGCAAAGGAAAAGCCCTCGCAGAACCTGGACAGTAAAATCTGAGCCCAGAGCTCAGCCCAGGCTTCACAAAACCATCAGCAGCAGGAAGAAGGAGCTGGATTTCACAGCTCACCCGTTCAGCACATAGAAATGTGGGATGACAAGAGAATTCCTGGCTCTGCTGGCTGCCATGTCCCTCCTGAACTGGCCACAAGTGACACGACACCATCTTTGTGAGGCTGGAGACAGGCAGCTGTGAGGTGGGGAAGGAGACCCCATCCCCTGCAGCATCATCTCCTCTTCTCAGGGACACTCAGAGGGGCTGGTTCCAGCTGTAAAAATTATCTGAGGCAAGAGGTTTATCCTGCTTCAGTTTTCTGAGAGACTTTCTTGTCTGACTCTGTTTTGCAGCTCTCCTGTTGCTCTATTACCAGAACCAGACAAGCACCACCCAGAGATGTGCCACTGCTTTAAAAACAAACTGTATTTTCTTGTTGCAAGGTGACACTACCTACCAAATCCAACCCTCTGCTCTCACCAGAAACATCCCTCTCAGCAAGGACAGCCCCGCTTCCAGGGCAGAGAATCAAAGTCACAGCGTTCACACACCCAAGGCTCCAAAGCTGAACGACCATCCACCTAGTTCAGAGTGAAGCTGGCAGGCATTTAGGAACCTATTTGTGACACTACTTAGTAAAGAAAATATTTCTCTCCTCTTTTTCTCCAAATCCAGCAAAAGAAGAGAAGATCAAGCACAGGGGAGTGAGGTTGAGATACTTCAAGCACCTTCAAAGAAACCAGGCTGGGTCCAAGCCTGTTTGGCCAAGACTCTCACCCACCCCCCAGCCTCAATCTTTGTGATCTTTTCAGTTCTTACAGCGTTTCTCTTCCAACTCAACCTACACCTCTTCTCAATTTCCCTCTCTTCCTATTACCCTGAGTAACCAGCCTGCCTTCCTCCCCACACTGCGCTTCTCTCTCGCTCGTACGCAGCCAAATTCCTGCCCACCTCTGGGTGAAACTCTCCAGAAAAAATCACTTCCAGCGGCTTCAAAAGAGCGAGGTTTGGAGCTGGGCCCTGCGGGGTGCGGCTGCTGTGCTTTGGGGAGGCCCTCGGGGATGGAAACATCTTTGTGTGTGAGCGTGTGTGAGCGTGTGTGTGTGAGCGTGTGTGTGAGTGTGTGTGTGAGTGTGTGTGAGCGT